GATCACGAGTGCAAGGCTGATGAACGCCTGCCACTTTACAATAATAATCGTTCGACTCAGCCAAAGTAAATCAGCCAACAACCGAAGATGCTCTCGATGCAGTTACTCCATGCCGCTCAAGCAACCGCCAGACAGCAGCCTGGTCAGGCTGCTCCTCACGCGAACGACTCAAATGGTCCGTACGAGCCCGCGATATCGCTCTTTAAGATCACGCCAAAAAATACGATAGCGATGCATAAGGTCAACAGAGCCAAGCCTTCTAGCCTCCCTGAACAGGCGATCCCTCGAACGACATTCACCTCACAGAACCTCCGTCATCCACGGGGCAAACGGACGCCTAAAAGGTCTAGTAATAATAGATGCAAAAATGTCAAGCTCCGCGGTCACAGCTGCCGAAAAACTATCAACCAGATCCGACGGACTAGCCATACCATTCAGACTGAAATCATTCAGCAAACGAGCACTCAAAGATAATTGCAGCGCTGTCATATCGCACCTCGCAAAATTGCGAAATTTGACACTGCGCGACTCGAAAGAACGTGCAACAAAACCATAAACCAAAAAAATAGCGCAGTGCCAAAAAGCCACAGGGGCATCAGAGACCGAATAGTCAACGACTGAGTCCGCAGCATCGACAATCGTTAAATCAATACAGGTGGCAGTATCATCTCTGAAGTGTGTGGGCCCAGAAGCGACCCAAAATAATGAACGATCATGAAAGTGTGCAAATCATCCGAGTCATCTGTCGACTCCAACATATTTACATTAAAATCTCCTAAAATAATATAATTTTTAAGCGATCGTAAAAATGCATCAAGTTGCAAGAAAAAATACGACAAAGCCGGGTCTTCTGTAAACCAATGCTATCAGCACATGAGGTTGCGATCAATCATCAGCCGAAAAGACATCGAAAAAAAGAAACTCCGTCTTGTCGATATGAGTTATTGAAGAGGCTTGTAATTTTGTATATTTTAGAGATGAATGAAGGTAAAAAGTAACACCACCTCGTCGCATATAATTTTCTCCCACCTTCAGCTTACGATCATTACGAACCAGTGAATAATTTGATATATTGAATGAAGAATCATCGACCAGTGGAGTAAACCAAGTATCAGTAATTCCAAGAACATGCAAGTGATTATTTAATATAAAATTTTTCGCGAGATGCAGCTTTTTAATAATAGAATTAATGTTAATGTGCGCGACTTTTAAAATGTGAAGATTACGTGAGCAAACGGGGTGAGACCTCAATTCAACAAAAGAACACCGTCATGGTATCTTCTCTAGGTCGAGATTAGAGTTAATTTGCATTTTTTGCGATGAGCCATTTTTTCGCACATATATCACGCCACCGCGAATCCAAACTCGCTCAAAGCCACAAGTACGAGCCTTCGTTCTCACCTCCTGCAACAGCTTGAAGGTGTCCTGGGGCAGCCACTCATTCAAATAGAGTTTACGCTGAGCAGCAGATCTGTATGCCTGCAAAATATCAGCGACGGAAATAACGCTCTTTAAAATCTTTAGACGGACGATCTCATCACGAGCGACAGATGATTTACAAACGACTAGCTAGGTCCGGAACTCAGACGAGGCATCCCTCGGCTTCAGCCACCTGACACGTGTGTGACACCGGCAGGTCAAAACCGTGCCAACGACCTGATCATTCTCCGACTCAGGCAAGCTCGAAGGGATACCAGAGACCGTAAACTCTATGGTCTTCTGCCGGGAGCAAGAAGACATTTAATCGATACGAGTGCGCAGTTTCTCTATCTCAACATAAGCATGTGAAAGATTATTCTCAAGATCGTTTAAACGCGTCTCATGCTCGCCAATCATAGTAGAAAGATTATCCATTGAGCTTAACAAGTCGTGGTTCTGAGTGGCTACAAAAGAGATTGCCTCGCAAAGCTTATCGAGCTTTGAATCCTGCGACAAGGCCGCGAACGGGGTGTCAAGCTGAGGCTCAGGTCTAATTTGATTCGATGAACCGGCGCCAGCAGACTGACTTAAAAAAATCATGGTAGATCCACCTGCAGCGGTAATGCGGCTAAAAAGTTGTATATGGTGAACTGAATTGTGCAACAGTCCCTAGCAGACAATGCAGAAGCGTAGTCAAGCCCACAACCCGGATGAAATGTATTATTGCAACCAGCACACAGGCTAAAGTTCCTGGCGTTTTTGTAACACTTTGCTTAACTCGGCATACGAAAAAAATTTCAAAATATACAAACACATAGACCACGAGACGAACCCAAGTTGAACGTTAGCACAGGCAAGGCAAAATCGATGGGCCGGCCGGGTATTTACATGCCTGTGTACCGAATGCCTATTTACGTACACGATACGCGACTACTATACAGAACAATAACACACGCTGTGTTTACGGAGACTTCAAATTCTCAGCGCTTTCAAAAATGTATAGGTTACAGATAAATGCTCTTTTCGTTCTTTTCGTTCTCCACTCTTCCGTCAGATTCACCAATGCAGTCAACGGTAAGTCGCATCCGATCGTGCAGTCGGAGTCGGTAGGACGAGAATGGCAAGACATCAGCAGCAGTGGACGATCGATGATCAACTCAACTTTTCAACGATATAAGAAAGGCACGAGAAAGGCAAGTGATTTGGACCCTGGCACTGTTGGTATATCACCACAGGAGTAACGTAATAGCTCAGGTCAGGTAATTCAAATCTTGCCCGCAACAAAGCTTCCAACAAGTGGAAAACAGAAAGAAAGAGATCTCGAATTAGCGGCAAATTACGGAGAGCGAGCCAAAGAGAGCACAAACACAACTGTAAGTTCTTGTCTTAGCCGCTCTACCTGGGCACTTACACAATCCAGATAGGCGGTTACAGGGATAGAGGATAGAAAAGGCGGTAAAATGAATGGGCCGATTTAACGTACTTAGTTGGGCTTGTATTGGGTTTCGGAGCTCGCTGTTAAAGCGACTAGCTCTGGCGACTGCTCTTAAAGATCTGAGCTACAGTGTTGTGCGCTACGCGCTTACGGAGCTTTAAACTTGGTGTGTTCGAGGCGTCAAGTCGACGCTGTCATATAACGGCTAGTGACGGGGCGTTTCACCTACATTGCTCCCCCCCAGTGGGTTCGACGGGGTCGCACACACGACAAAAAACATGTATGAAACGCATTACAATTATACTGACGCGTTTACATTGAAAAAAGGCGCACTGTAGCTAAAAAATTGTACATGTATGAAACAAAATATCATTATACGCACTTAGTGCAACATTAGGTAAATGAAAAAAAACGTTAAATTATACATACGCTCTGGAAATCAAACAAAAATATTTACACTTCTTAATGCGAAGCTGCCCAAGTACATATTATGTGATTGCGTTGACAATAAATAACACTTTTTATTTTTTAGTAAGCACGCAGGCTTAATACATTTTATATCGTCGATGCTTCTTAATTGAAGCTTAAAATAATCATAGGTTTACATATGCTGTTTTAAATGCAGTAAAAAAAATAACAGTTTTGATTTATTTTTAATCAATGATTCGGACACGTTGGAATTTCAACGTTTTAGATTACAACTGCTACGCAGTTAAATAAAAATGTATACTTGTGTTTATGAATTACTGATGCATGAACACACATTTTGACATACTCATACCTTTACATTATGATTCTCGCGAGAGAGTGTCGATCATACCGTCACGCGATAATTCAAGCAGCAGCAGCATAGCCTCGGGTTGACTATTTACAAGGAAGCTGCATTTATAAAATTTTACGTATTTGACAATCAATTGTCTCTCAACAAATCAATAATTGGTCGACAGGCGACCGCGCCACAGTCACCTAGAGTCAAGGACTCGACTCTCGCTGCAGACTCACGCAAAAAATCTCCTTGGAGATGACGATTGCCGAAGACGCGAAGCTGTCTCGCGCGTGACCGCGACAAAATCGAAGTTAAAGATTTAAAAGCTAATAATGGAGGTCTCTGCGTTAAAATCAGCCAAGACACGAATAGACAAAAATAGCTAGTCGTTGCCTACCACCTCCAGGGAAAAATTTCTCCTTTCACGGACGGTGACTCGGACATTATTCGGTCTAGACCGATGTTCAGAAATGCTCTCCTCGTCAAAAATTTTTACAGCCTGGTCGAAGTCAGACTCAAAAACACTCGACTTGCCGCAACGCAAGCCAGTCGAGATCATGACTGCAGTTTTGCCCCATGCGTCTGGGAAGACGTGCATGTCGGGTCAGGCTAAAAAATAACGTGTGTTTCAATGGTATTTTGCAAATTGTCAGCTTATTGCTGTTAATAAGCGAAAGAAATCCGTGGGCCACGATCGAGCCTGATGCGTCCATCAGACATTAACAAGTCAGATCGGGCAATAAATAAAATTATTTTAATAAATTACGTCCCAAAATTAGGTAGGGAACGGCTGCTACAACGAAGGTCCATAAAAGAGACAATTCTTCGGAGACTTTAAAATTTGATACTTTAGTATCATAAATTGGATAGGCAGCTAATTGGCTGCTATAATGCCTAGGATTACGGGTCTCGCCTCCCGCTCACCTGGCCTAGGAATAACCGAACCCGCGTAAAAATTGAATCAATGGGAGTTATATGGGCAAGGACTGGCAGGATTTTATTGTCATTACATGGGAAAGTTATTGGAAAAAACTTTTCCCATGTTTTACCCATAGTTCTGCAAATGCACATAATCCAATATTTTCCCCATTCATACTAAAAAAATTTTTATTGGATCATTTGGGCAATACTTGGGAGATATATTCAAAAAATAATTTTCCAATTTATTGCCCATATAGTTCCCATAAATTGTATTATAATATTTGTATGATAATATTTTTTTCATAGATTGCTCATATATTTATTTAAAAAAAGTATCGATTCAAAGAAATTTGTTTTTATTATTTCATATAGTTCTTGAAAAATAACTATTCAAATGTAATGAATGAACTCAAACAACTGAAATTGAACATAAATATAAATTGAAAATCAAAAATTCAATCATTGATGCGGATTTCTTAATGTGCCGATCATCAGGTTGACTACAGAGGTAAACTGAGAAGGAGTCAGCGCAGAGTCGCACCTTCTATTAACGTAAACTAAAAAAGAAAATTATGTATCAATATTATGTTAGTTTTTTAAGTTTAAAATTAATATTGTATGAAAACGTCAAAAATAGATATACATTCAACGACATCCATAATGTCTTGAGGCACGGCATGAATATTCGGATCTCCAGAAAATCCTCTTGCGCACATATACCTTAAATTATCCGCCCCAACAATAATTTTCAACAATCGCCTGGTCATTTCTCTTGGATTGTGTCGCCACCTTTGGACCCAGGCAAGTTCGGTCTCTCCTATCCAAACATTGTACATTCGAGACAACTGAACTCTTCCATCTCCTGCTAGACGGCATTTCAATAAAGGATCCATCTGAAAAAAATTATTGATTGATGAAGTAAAATTAAAAATAGAATTGTATGTTACGCTTACGGCTTCGTCCACACGACCAAGACGTTCGAATTGTCTGCGTCTCTCGTCATGCATCGCGTTTCGATTCGCTCTTCGTGCAGGTGCTCCACGGTCAATATTTTCCTGAAATGGTATTTGAAATTTTCAGATACACATTGCACATTATAGATAAATAAATATATTAATACTGCAAATCAATATAAAAAAAAGGAAAAACAGTGCCTCTACCAGTGCTCTCTCCCTTGCCTCTTCTTCCTCTTGCGCTCTCGCCCTTGCCTCCTCTTCCTCTCTTGCTCTCTCTCTGGCCGCGCGTCTCTCCTGCTTGCGCCGCTTTTTTTCTTCCCTCTCTCGTGCTTTTTCTTCCTCGAACTCGCCCAAATTTTGATTTTCCATCTCAGCTTCTTCCTCTTGCGCTCTCGCCCTTGCCTCCTCTTCCTCTCTTGCTCTCTCTCTGGCCGCGCGTCTCTCTTGCTTGCGCCGCTTTTTTTCTTCCCTCTCTCGTGCTTTTTCTTCCTCGAACTCGCCCAAATTTTGATTTTCCATTTCAGTTTCTTCCTCTTGTGCTCTCCTTTTTGCTTCTTCTTCCTCTCTTGCTCGCTCTCTGATCTCTTCATCCTCTCGTGCTCTTTCTTCGGCCGCGCCTTTCTAAAATTTACACAAGAAATGGGTGAATGCCTTGAAATAGTAAATATTTGAAATAATACCTCATTCTGATCATTCTCTTCATTTCTCATAGGTGCTCTTTTATTTTCTCCTTCAGATTCACTTTCCGATTCCGTTTCGATCCGTTCCTCCGATTCATCACTCTCTTCCTTTCGTCGCTTATTCTCGACTTCTTCATAGGACTCTTTTTCAATATCTTCGTACGTTCTCTTTTGATTTAATGTATCTTTTATTTCGGTGGTACAATCTTCTTCGCTAGACTCCTCAAAAATCGAAGCGGAACACAAAGTTTTCAAATTTGCAGCACTTTTCATTGCTTTCGTTTTTTTTCTAATTTCAAGCTTGGCATTTTTTGACGGCATTTTCGGGGGAGCTTTGGAGGTTAATTTTTTATTCATTATTGTTCCATCCTCGACAGATACGTGCAATGAATTTAAGTATCTTTCGTCATCTATAAAAATAATAAACACACTTTAAAGAAATACATATTAAAAATTGCGATATAATTTAAATAGTATACGACTCACGACTTTTTTTGACGATCTTGGCCTGATATTTTCTACCATCTTTATAGAGAACCGTTGTTATTTCCCCCTCATTCGTATCCGGAAACAGATTTTCATCGCTCACAATACTCGTTACTTTACTCTCTATCCAAAAAACTAAAACTTTCATCGTGATAAAGTTAATTATCGACTCACTCGATGCTTCGCACGAATCGATCGGTGAAGGGGTTACGTTTCCGTTTGTAAACAAACGGCTGTCAGGCCTGTCAAAATCAATCCAACCTTAATTCGATGCTTTTCGTTTCCAACAATTATATTGATACAATTGCTAAGATATTTTAAGTGAATTAAAGTAGCATCAAAATGTCTAAACGACCGCTTTATTACACAGACTACAGTAATTATGTGAAAAAACGTTCGAATACAATTTTGAAATCACGTGGAGAAATTCTCGAGGCTGATCACAGTCGACTAGATGTGGACTTCGATTGCGATATTGATAACATAGTAAGCTTAAGTACTTTTGACACTCTTTGTTTATTTTTTTGTATTTTATTCGAAAGTTTATATCTATTCATAATTAGCCTTTTCAGGATTATTCTCGAATATCCCCGCAATTCAATTTTGATGTGTGTATAAATGACTATGATGGAGAAGAAACTATCCCTGACACGGAGGCAAGTGCTGGTTTAGATGAATGTGCAAATTGTAACAAAAAGATAAACAAGTACTCTTATGGTATCGATATAAATGATATATTTATAAACATATATGCGCCTCAAGTTTGTATTGATGCCAAGAATCGAAAACATCCGGTTTCTGTGGACTGTACAGTATTTTTATATTATTTTGATAATTAAAACTAGGCAAGCTGAAAATTCGAATTTTTTCGTTTGTTAACATCGATGCAAATTTGAGAAATATAAATTTATAGTATAAACAATAATCAGTAATTTCATTAAACGTAGATGACATTATTGAAGATGATGATATTNCACGCATTTCGTTATGAATTGCTTCGAGAAAATAGTGAAGCGTCTAATTTTTGCAATTCACTATTATATTCGACCAAAAAATTTAATTTAAAAAAAATTGATAATCGTACTTATGTAAACGGCAAATCGACCAAATTGAAAAGTCCTCGTACTGAAGAAATATTAACGCAATATAATTTAGTGGGGACAAGTGTATTTTATTTTAAAAAGATTTATAAAAATAATACTTTATTTACTTCATTTGCAGCCCAAAAAAAACAGAAAACGGAGTCATATTTCGTAAGTTACAATGAAAATCAAACTGTAAGCATTGGACTTGTAGATCATTACATTAGAGTAACTAATTGTACGTGCCAAAAGCTTTGTGAGTGCCAAGGAAAAAATTATGCCTGCGTTAAAAAAATCACCACTGTTACACCTTTTTCTGTGAATATTTCTGGGGTTGAATTAAAATATATGCATAAGTCTAAAGAAGTATGTAACGATATTACTCTTGTCAAACTTAAATATTTGAAAGATGTTTGCGTAAGAATGAAGTTTGATGAAGAGAATTATTATATTTGTGAGCGGGTTAATAATGTGGAATTCGAATAAAATATAAAAGTTTGATAAATTGAAAAATTGTCATTTTATTTTTTAACGTATAATGCAGCAATATATGGCACACATATGGGAACTATATTGGCGACAAATTGGAAAATTATTTTTTGAATATATCTCCCAAGTATTGCCGAAATGATCCAATAAAAATTTTTTTAGTATGAATGGGGAAAATATTGGATTATGCGCATTTGCAGAACTATGGGTAAAACATGGGAAAAGTTTTTTCCAATATCTTTCCCATGTAATGACAATAAAATCCTGCCAGTCCTTGCCCATGTAACTCCCATTGTTTCAATTTTTACGCGGGAAACTTTGGCGTTCGAATCCACAATAAAATAATTTCGAATTCATGTTCTTATGGAGACGAAGAACTAGTAGAATTCGAACTACCGTCGCTCGGACCGCCTTTGTCGCGCTTTTGTGAACTGTTTCTATTCTTGCCGGGATCACGCCTGTCTCGATTTCGACTATTACGATATGATGCTAAAGTGTCTAATACTTGATCGAGCTTCTGCTCCAAATTAAAAATACGCGCATCATAGTCGCGTCGCGCATGATTTTGAACAATACTATCGATGCCGTACGAGGCTCTACTGTCCGCGTCGCGCCTAAACGATGCGTAAATTCGATCAGCTTTTCTTACGTTGCTCAATTCGTTTTTTTGATTTATGACATCGTCTAAATGAACGCCAATATTCGCCGGGATCGTCTCGCGCCAGATACGTAAAATCGTATCTCTACCTAAAATACTACCCGCGCTTGAAATTAAATGTTCTAAAAATTCCGACGGCGAACGCGTACCCATATTAACGTTACCTAAAATACTCTTAAGATTTTCTGAATCGCTGACAGTGAATTTACGCACTAACGCGTCTTTTAACTTTTCGTACCTGTCGCCGGCCGACGCTGAATCGATAGCAGCGGACGCAGTCGCGATCAAGTCCTCGTCCAAATTACTAATCGCGCACCTGTATTTATCCGCGTCATCAACAATGTTCTTAGCAACAAAGTGCTCCTCTAGAGTATCAAACCAAATACGCTGCGCGCTTCTCCAAAACGAGCGAATTCTGATCTCTGGTTTCTGCGGAGTGCGCAGAGCACCCGATAATAATGCTAACTGCTCGGCCGCGGAGGGTCCTCGCCGCATCGCGTCATCGCGTGTAAAATGCTCGGCAAATAATGCTTCAACACGAGCGATCATATCCTCTCTAAACTTATCAAGGTCTTCGCTCGATACGGTGGTCTGCGTGGCGTCTGCCATGGTTGCAGAGTTACCGGTTTCTGACGCCGTCTCGGTATCGACTGTGATCGGACTACTGCCGCTACGCAAATTATATGGCGCTGGCTTGACAGGTGATCGACCCAATCCCATTAAAAAATCGAAAAGAAAAATAAAAAATCCCAAAACACGAGAAATTCTAATCCCAAAAATCGATATGGATGAACACGCTCGAGGCAGGTGGTGAATCAGAGCAAAAAAAAATCAAAACGTCAACTCAGCAGCAAAAAATAAAAATATTAAAATGCTATGCAATTGCAAAAAAAAATTGAACGACGAAATTCTCACGGGCACGGCACGAGACAGCAACGCGCAAATCGACTCAAAAAAAATATCACACAACTCATCACGAGTTATTCATCACGATGGCACTCGTGAAATGAATGTACAAAGTACTAAAATTCAATCACGTTTACGCGAAAAGTCTCTAAAAAATATCGGGCCGCGAGCAACAGGTCAACTAAATTTATAAAAATCAAACAAATCGCAGCATCGGCTAGCACATCATCACAATCTCACACACATCGATCCAATGGTACACACCTTAATTGATTAATGTGAGAGACGAGTCAGGCAATACTATCTCGTAGAGGCCTTACACCAAAATTCAAATTTCTATCAAAAAACTACGTTAAATTCACAAAATGACATCGCGGTAAACGATACCCTAGTGCGTAATGACGACTCGCCCTGAAGTCGAAACTTCAAAAAGGCGAGAAGCTGCACTGAGGATCTCGAATGCAGCGCGTCATCAAAAAAGAAAAAAACAAATTATTAAAAGTGCCTGACTCACACTCTCGCACGAATGTGTGTTCATGCATCAGCAATCCTATAATTAGCATGTACGTATGTCGTATAATATTTTAAATATAAATAAACATTGTATGTGGGCAAAGTGAACAATTCAATTTCACTAATTTTAAATTGGCTCGATGTGAGCACGCAATGAAAAACGCACGAGTACCTTGTCGCTGACTCGATGTAATAAAAGCAGTCTGCTACGCAGCCTCTGACGGGTTTGGTTAAGTTGACCAGCGCACGCGGAGCAGGGAGAGACGGCTCAAAATCCGCGATGCTCGATCGGCACGCTGCTGCCGTGCTGCTGTCGGTGTCGTAGCTGCGCCGCTCCGATGTTGTTACGTCACGCTGCTACGCTGCTACCGCTGCGCCGTTGCCGATGTCGTCGCTGGTACCGCAGCGCTGCCGATGTCACGCTGGTACCGTCGCGCCGTTGCCGATGTCGTTGCTGCTACCACAGCACTGCCGATGCGACGTTGCTTTGTCGGCGCGATGTTGTGCTGCTGCTGTACCGTCGAAATGGCGCCAAGCCGTTGCTGCTACCGTCGCGCTGTTGCCGACGTCGTCGCCACGCTACCGCGATGCTGCTCCGCTGCTGCGATGTCGTTCGACGGCCGCTGATGAGGCCGGAAACGGGAAGCAGGGGCAAGACGACGGTTGCCACGCCGCAAAAACGCGGGATATGACCCGATCGCCGTTCACGCGCCTGACGACGTCGAGCCAACGGCCGATGAAAATGGCGGCCTTGATGCCGCGACGATGAAGCCGTCGCTGAGCGGTTACTGCTCCGATGTTGGCAAATGCTGGCGCCGATCCACGTCTTGATGCCGAAAGCGGCCGTTGAAATTCGTCTCGTGGTTGCTGCTGCTCCGAAGCCGCTCGTCGCGTACCGTTGAAAAAAGGCCGCGATGTATAAAGATGGCGGCAATGACGGTGCAAAATTTTCGTCGCTCGGCGGGAAAGCCGCCTCTGCACAAAATTCGGTTTTCGCCGTAATTCACGAGTCCGGCTAAATTTCGCTGAGATCGGAGCACGTCGTCGCCGCGACGAGATGAAAGCTTAACCCGTTGAAAATGCCAAGAAGTATACCTCAAATTTTTCGGCTGACTCGCCAACCGCCAACACAGCTTACTTTGCCGAGGTCGCGATCCTCTGCTTCGCAGCTGCCTCGCCGAAGATTTTCTCGGTTAGCCTCCGTCCCCGTCTACGTGTTCGCAATTTCTTCAGGTAGCCTCGATGATGGTGAGGGTACCGTTTCGTTGAAGGTGGAGAGTGCTGGGCGAGATGTAGGTAGCCCGCGATGAAAAAACTCACGCACTTCTTCACTTTAGGTAATCGGAGCAAAAACTCTTCTCCGAGTACCGAACGTCGCAGGTCACCAGTGTAAGTTCTTGTCTTAGCCGCTCTACCTGGGCACTTACACAATCCAGATAGGCGGTTACAGGGATAGAGGATAGAAAAGGCGGTAAAATGAATGGGCCGATTTAACGTACTTAGTTGGGCTTGTATTGGGTTTCGGAGCTCGCTGTTAAAGCGACTAGCTCTGGCGACTGCTCTTAAAGATCTGAGCTACAGTGTTGTGCGCTACGCGCTTACGGAGCTTTAAACTTGGTGTGTTCGAGGCGTCAAGTCGACGCTGTCATATAACGGCTAGTGACGGGGCGTTTCACCTACACAACAATCACTTACGAGAGCTGAGAGATGAATGATGCATGAAGCGCGAGCGTAGGGAGAGATACTCGGTGATCGCGAGAGAGTCAGCATCGTGCGCGTTGCTCCAAATTCGACCGTGTCGCGAGATTAGAATTACGATTGAACGCTGCAAGTGCGTGACGCGAGATTCGCAAGACTTGAGCGGGTGATATTCGACGCGGGTCGATCGAGAACGGATCAGTGAAATCGCGAGAAGAATCTCCGACGTTGTTACATTGTGAGTTATAATCACATTATCGTTTCGTAATTGCGACTTCGCAAACTGTGCGTGCCAGCAGCAGCCCATCCGAGCGAGAGGGTCAAGCTAGCTGCGATTTCTACGAGCGGCCATTGGCAATACGGCATACAACACCTGTAAGTACCGCTTGAGTACTGTGCCTCTCCTGCGTGTGCAATCGCATCTCAGTGTGATTGAGTGAGTGTGTCCGCGATTACGCTGCTGCGTCCGCTATTCGAAGTCTTGTTCAATAAACATTTTATATTTTGCCATTTAACCCCTTCTATATTATTTCGACAACCCCTTTCCCGTTAAATTATATCCTAGGTTGGACCACGACACCGCAGCGGTCGGTGCCAATTGTCGGACCGAGTACTGAACCAGACGGGAATCAGCGCGAGGAGGCGCATCGCCTAGGATTCATCACAAGTATTAGTAGCGGTCACGGGAACCGTTACACTGTATTGGATAAAAAACCGACTTGTGTCCATATTGCTTGGTCTCAAAGATGAGTATTTTTCGACAACATTATAGTATGGCGCGCAAATATGAAAAATTCGTGGAGAATCTGTTTTAGAGTCACGTATATCTAGTAATTCTCGTGATCATAAATATCGTTCGTTGACATATTGATCAGCTCACAACAACGCATAGCTCCACAAACTCCAGAGATCATTATTACCTACAATAAACATAACCACTGAGTCACGAAGAAAGTAAAACTTTAACAATAATAATCATAATTACCTTTGTGGCCAGGTAATCCAAGTCATCTGCTTTGTCCAAAAATTTCTTGACTTCTAAGCCAGTCAACGTTTTTGCTTGTTTCGATTTGTCCCCTTTCGAAAAATTTTTCATGAAGCTTTTCAATTGCTCATACTTCGATTTATCGATATTATGTCGAAGATTGAGCATTGTTTTTAACATAGACCATCTTGACCACATGGTTGAAGGTTTAATTTTTTTGGCGAGTTAATTGAAGTATACAAGCAAAACGTTTTCGCATATCATTTTACTAAATTATCCTTAGAGCCTTTGGTTAGAGGTTTGTCGCTCCAAACCGAAAATTCAGCATCCGCTATTTCGTATCTTTCTCTTGACTTCGACGGCCGCAAGTTACTTGCGATCAATTTGCCTTCTGCTTCGAAATCGCGCCTTAGAGCTTCTTGCTGCTCCTCCCCAAACTCGGATACATCAGAATCAGACTTATTAAATGAACTAAGTACAAGAGATTAGTAAAAAAGCTACTTACGTTTCACAAAAATTATGATGATGAGAAAGCTGCCTATGAGAACACTGGTTTTATTTAGAGATTTGTAGTCTGTGTTTATCGGCTTGTCGAACGAAAATATTTGGGTATGAATTCGACTCGACGCTCAAAATGTTAAATGTCAATTTGATCATATGATATTAGATTCGTTTTTAAGCTCCATCTAACACAGTTAAGACAAGCTTATTTGAAAAGCATATTAAACAAACTTTTATTACTACTTTTGGGGGTGGGCGAACTTTCGGCCGTCTATAATGAAAATAGCATACGCACCACGACTGGGAGTGGGACATCATATAATAGCCGCGTGCTTGCTCGCTAACTCGCGCGCGGCTATAATGACCCACTTCCCAGCCTAGGTAAGTAATATTCTATTTAGGGAAATTGTCTTGTAGGAAAAAAATTCGGAAAAATGTACAGTAATCTACCCTCTCTGTCTTATTTCCAGCTTGGATTGCCGAAGCTCGCGGTGCACTTGGTGGCGGCTAGACCCCTTCTGAGGTAAGACTCAAGGATACGCTGCCCGGTGCCACTGTGAAGGAATAATAGGACTGCAGACTGAGCATGGCCTAAAACCAAGCCTCACACGTCTCAATATAAAAAACTGCCCATTTATAATATTAGTTGATCTACAAATAATACTTTTTTACTCTGAAATTAAATGACCTAATATTATTATATTTTCTGTATATAACGCATTAAAAATATACTTATGTCTTCTAATCAACATATGTAAAAAAATAATACTCATACTTCAGTCCACGAAAAGTCACGATGGATGCATCGTTTAATGCATTTGCAAGAGTATATTCTACTTCGCTTATCAATTCAGTCGCAGATCTTTGTATGTCTTGAAAATTATCTTGGCCAAAATCATTATTATAAGGTTTTGTTATTGACATAGACAGTCTATACGTTTCTGAAAATTAATTTTGTTTTTAATGTTCGTCCATAAAAAATATAGATTATATAATATAATTATTA